GCCGCCAAGCTTTCGTGGTTCTCGAGTTGAAAGTGCAGGACAAAATGTGGGACACACACACACACAAACAACCCCGTGACAGTATGTGTTTTGTAACGCTGTTACAGAGCACAAAACGCATAAAAACGGTTCATTTGTTGACGGTGAGGAGTGGTGGCCTGAACGAAACTCCCTCGAATTTTTATCCATCTTCATCTACTTATAGTTATTTACAAGTCCAGTAGAAGAAACAATATATTCAAAAGCTTGAAAACAAACAAAAACCCTCCAATAAGCCCTTGCTGTTTGGTATCTAGTGCACAAAACTCCGCTAAAACTGGTCCACAAGCCCGATTATGTCAGTGTCTGAATCCCCTGTATTTTCAATTTCTGTGAGAAACACACGCACTCAGAAATAGTTTGAATAGTATCATGCAGCAAAAAGTTTCGCCCAACAACTGGCAAGGATATCGATGGCAAACTCTTTCGAATATTGCTTATGATTAAACTGACGGCGGGTTTGCCCCCCCCCCCTCTCGCCTCCTCCTCCTCGCCTCCCGGGATATGTACCAATACCAATTCGCCATCGAAACGAATGAACGAATCATACACAGATCAGTTGTCCTACCGGCGAGAGGGAATCCATGATTTTTGGCACGAAAACAACGCTACTTGTCACTACGCCGCTCCAGTTACCTCAGCAATTGTTCAATAATCTTTTTTTTTTTTTCCACCACATTTGGGCGTACATTTCGCTGCTTGAACTTCCCCAGCCCCCCCTCCCCCCTTCAAAAACAGAAACCGGGCAATGAGGCAAAAATAGGATTGTAAAACAAACCATTCTTGTCATTATTGCTTATTTGCAAGCACTGAGCCAATTTTTTGACGATATCCGGTGAATAGACTTTCAGAAATAGAGATCTGTCATAGAATACATATTTCACGACATGATTTTCATGCAACTGACTGCCAAATAAATGCTGCAAAAAAAAACTGAGAAATAAAATCTATTCAGAATTATTCTTCGGTACCAGAGGAGTATGGATGCAAGATATACTTGAATCAGGCATAATTTACGGTCTGATTCTCAAACTGTGCAGTTGACAACTTTTCTAAGTGATTTGACCGGTATTGCTTCGTCTGTCAATCGGCTTCCGTCGATCCTTTCATCCCATAGAAGGATTATCCGTTTTATATTCAATCCAACAAAACTACTTGTCAGATTTTTTTACGCGTTGGTAAGACAAAGATGCAACATATGGCTACTGATTAATACAGGGCAAAGGCCGACCGTAGTAGAACGATGCAACATGAGATGTTCCAACAACTAGCTTACCATAAATACCACAAGAACGATTGAATGGAAGTGCACGAGCCTTTTTGCTTTGGATTAGAAGGCGTCAGCCCTCTTTCAGCTCGAAAGAAATTTACCTGGAGCTTTTTGACGTCTTTTACAGAAAGTAGTATAGTTTCAAGTACGCTTTCCAGAGGCAGCCCGTAAATCGATGCGCCTGTAAGCAGTCGAGCACTGAAGCGATTCCACAACGCGTCCTGCTCGGCACGTTGCGCTAGCCAGTCCAGTAGTTCCAGAAATGTCTGTAAATAAAAAAATCTTCAAAACGTCACAAGAAAAATTTACCTTAGTTGCTGGCAAGGAAAAGTTTCTTGGAATGACCCAAATGAGGCACTGTTCAAGAACAGATGGTGTTGCTTACCATACAACAAAGATATCTCGAAACGACGAGAGCCTCGCCAGCTGCTATAGCGAGGCTATTGAGCAGATGATACATTCAGCGGATGAAACGAACATCAGAATCGCCAGCAGACTGATCAACTGGGGGCGATACGCAAGTATCATTATTATCGTCATTATTACTATTATTATTATTATGATGATTATTATTTCCAGTATTCTGTCTTACTAATGTCACTATAATATCATTCAATATTATTACTGCTATCATTATCATATTGTTTATTATTATTATTATTATTGCTGGTACTATCATTAACGTTATTATCGTCATTATTATTATCATTGCTATCATTATCCCAATTGTCATTATTTTTGTTATCGTCCTTATTATCATTATTACCGTCATTATCGCCATTATTATCATTATTTTTTTTTTTTACTATTATTATAATTATTATATCACTAACGTGATGATAATCATAATTATGATTTCATTGTCGCGTCATTATCATTAGAATTATATTATAATATACTGTGATTGCATTATTACAATTGTTGTATCGTTACCACTATTATTATATTATATCACTAACAGGAAGAAAATAACTAACGCGAATCTACAGGTATCAAAAAAAAAACTAACGGGAAGATCGCTTCTAGAAAGCTGATGAGTCATGCCCGAGATAAACTGTAAGTTCACGTCCGTTGCAGCCCGACATTTTTC